AAAAGTGAGTATGACAAAGTTAAAGGATTCAGATCAGATTGGAACCCCCAACAGAAACACAAAAAAACATAACTTGGCTTATCAATAAAAACAATGAAACAAGACTGGATTCTAAAAGAAACAAGAAAAGACAAATGCAAACTCTTCACAAATGCAGAGGTATGATAGTCATACTTAGAGCAAGTATTTGAATATTCTTATGGTGTTTTTGAATATTGAATTATAGAGTAAAAAATACAAAAGCAGTGCCTTTATACCTTATCTGAGAAGGTAATAGATGCTGGTATAACATTTGGTTGATGCAACAAGGATACTGAAGATTCAGGCACTTCACTCTGAGGTACATTTTCTTCAGATGTTTGATGTCCAATCTCCATTCCAACGTCATTAGTTGGGCCACTATTGTAACTTTCAAAACCAAAATGTAACTCAATACTTTTACTACTATCCAGTTCATCGGGTTTAGGATGCATTTTAGTGTTAGGAACTGAACTGATATCATCCTGAATATCCATAGATGAAGCAAGCAAGTGGGCATCAGAACGTCCTTCCTGTTCAACAGACTTGTCAAGTACACCAGGATTTAATGCTAAACCATCTTTTTTGCCAGAAGTTTCAGTTGTACTGTCATTCCGTATGTTGGTAGATAGAGAAATTGTAGAATCAAGATGAGAATCTATCTGTTCAATATTGCTATGATCATCAATCTTCTCCATCTTCTCATCACTGATAACATGCAACGTCTTCTGTTGATATAATAAGTCTTGGTCTGAAGATTGGTCAATCATGTCATCTTCCGTTTCTGTTTCACTTACTGGTGATTCTGAGTTCAGTTCAGGATCATAATTGGAAACAGGAACCTCAGGTTTAGAAACCACATCCAGTTTATCAGGACTTGACTCATTATTGGGTTCATGCACACTTACAGCATTCAGTTCATCATTGGTAGTCTCAAGAATGGAGCTCTGTGCAATTTCAATTAAAGCATCCATTCTAGAAATCCTTGCAGGCACTTCCTTACTTGGACCTTCAATTCTTTTTTGAGTAGTTAGTTGACCAGGAGAGTCCTCAATTCCTCTCACAAAATTCCGAACATGGATCCCTACATGACCATTATATCGGCGTCTTTCTTGAAATACCTTATGACAGAACTGACACTCAAATTTTCCATCTCGAACAATAACACCATCCCCAACAGAAGATCCAAGTCTGTACCTCCTTGTAGTTCTCTGGTGAAATGACAAAAGGTGCTGCAAATATGTATCCTTATCATCAAATGTCATGTTGCATTTATGACATTCAAAAAGGTCATGTATTTGAACATCTGCCAGGTTATCCATCTCCAATAACATGCCTTCCGTCTGATGTTCATTAGATTGCCTTTGATCATCATCCTTGTGACTAGCACCTGCATGCTATTTCAGATACCATCAACAAATGGAATAATGTTAGAGTTTTATTTTTCATTTATAAGTTCAAGTTATAATAGAATTTAGACAAAATTTACTTAGACTTACAGAACCAATTTCATTGACCTGTTCAATATCCCCACCACCTTGTGGTTGGTCTGCATCATGGACTGCAAAGTAGGATTGTAAATATGTGGAAACTTCCTTGCATGATAAAAAATGTCGACCACCAGGACTGGAAAAACAGAAAGCAATAGAACAAGAATGCTAAAATTAGTGCGAAGCTCAACCCAAAGGATACTTAAATATCTTAATATAAAAACAAATAGATAAAGGTGCTGCCAAGCAGAAGATATAAAGATGAAGTCTACTATTTGCCAAAGTTGTCAATTTCAGACAATGAACAGCAATTACATGAAAAGAATGAGGATTGGGAACTGAAGCAACAACTTTTCTATCTCTGAATCTCTCAAAAAATTTAAGTGCCTTGCTGTATTGGTTCAGAAACGGGCAAAGTATTCAATGCATAAGCATTCAATTTTAAGCAAAAAATGTTCTTTTCTTTCTGATACCATACCAGTAGACTGACATTTAAACTTTCAAAGATCTCTGCCCCAAGATTAAAATTTGTCAATCTTATAACAATTTGGCTAAAATAACGTTTTCAACTTGTTCTTTTACTAATCTGAACTATTTTACTAGCTATAAAATGAAATGAAGGAGGAATTGTCAAATAACATTGGATAGTCTATAAAGGCCTTCCATTATTCCTTTGGGGAGCCAAGAATTTGAGCATTCAACAAATGATAAAATTAATATCATTCGGCAAAATAATGAAACATTACAATCAACTGAGAAAATAAAACACTATGTCAAAGAAGCTTTTCTATCATTCACATACTGGGGATAGGGTATATGTTGTTCTCACAATCAGCTAAAAAATTTATATAGCAGACTTTTCTGTATCGCTAAAACAGGCATTTGACACTCTAGTGTAGAGGCAAAACACATAGTTCCATAACTAATTTTTACCAAAAGGAACACTAATCAATTTAGAAAGAGCAAACAATCAATTTCTATCTTTGTTTCTTCCTTCTGCTATGCAGCCAAAAAAGAGATATGAAAGAAAGAAAACCAGAAAACACCTTATATATCTGCGGCAATAGACTGATGCACGACCTTCCCTCCTCTTCAGACCTAACAAAAGCTTCCAACCAACAGGCAATGCATCCCCAAATATGTTAGCATCTACAATCTTCCTCTTCCTCCTCCTGCTACACCACTGCCCACCCAAATCTCTCATGAACCCCAACAGCGCCTCCTCATTTCCCACCATTCCTTCAGTCCTCCTCCTCAGCTCTTCACCGAAGGGGTCCTCCAGAGACCCCAACCTTTCCAAATCCACAGCCACTCCGTTTTTATTCACAATCTCTAAGCCCGGCTCCCTCTCCTCCACAGAGATCCCCACCTTTGCCCTCGGCTTTCTTCCCCTCTTCCTCTTCCCAAGAGTAATCAGTGTGTCCTTGAAATTCACCATTGTATCTTTCATTTCAAAATTCACCATTGTATCCTTCAATGCCGGAGACGCAGGAGGGGAAGTGAAGTTGAGGTCCGCGAATTCAGGGTGAGATTTCAGGGAGCTTTTGAGGGCAGAGATAATGGAACGATTTTCGAGGGTTTCGGGATCATGGAGAGAAGAGAAAGAAGGGGGTGGTTTGGGGACTGGGAGGAGACCAGGGAGGCGGTGTCGAAGGGGATGATGATGGTGATAGTGGTGATCATTGGGGGAGGGGCGTGAGAAGGTCTGGCGATGAGACCCAGCAGACTCATTGAAGACGGAAGCGTCGATGGACGGGATCACGAGGTCGTCTGTGTGGCGGAGATCGTAGGCAGTGGGAGAGCAGAGGGAGAGGGCCTGGAGCTCCGATTGGGATAGAGAAGCAAGGTCTATGAGGGGAAGGGAGTCTAGGGTTAGGGTTTGAGCCGATTGCGGTGGCTGGTGGCTGGTCGTGAGAGTAGCCATTGTCACAGAGAGGGGTGGTGGCGGCGGCGGCGGCAAATAAAAATAAATATGGGTTTAGATGCAATTGCATTTTTCTTGGGATAACGGATAATTACACCTTTGATTTGCAAATTATTTTATAATTATTTTTTGGGAAAAAGAAAAGAATCGACGTAAAATAAGGGGTGTGGTTATAGTGTGTCCACTCATTTTTGTTTAGGTTATCAAAAATTTATTTATAAAATATTAATTTATTTGATTTAATTATTAAAAATAATAAATATTTAATAAAATAACTTATATTTATTATTTAATAAATTAAAATTAATTTATAAATTAATAGTTTTAAATAACATAATTAACTGATTAAAAAAAATTACATATATTAATAAAATTTTGATAACTTAACAAAACAAAATGATTGTCATAACCATACTATAATAAAGATGTGATAAACTTAAAATTTGTTAAAATAATTTGAAAGATAATTATTTTTTTTAAACAGTATTAAATTTTTTTGGGGAAAAGGAAAAGGAGGCTTGGAATTTAATCCAAGTTGTTTTAGTCCTAAACACGTATCGCATGGTAACCATTGTGCTACCAAATGTTGGATTTAAAAGATAATTACTTTATATTATTATATAAATCTTTTAATATACAATACATATTATATAATCGTTACTATTAATCATGTGATATCATGATTGGACTTTTATCTAACTAGAGGTTTTAGTTCAATACCCGCATATTACTATTGATATTTAATGTTGATTATAGACAGCCTAATCTTTTTTTTTTTTTTTTATAATTTTTTTAGTATTATTGGAAACTTCCATACAAACATATTTTTATTTTTTAATACCTCTTCTCTTCTTCAAAGAATTTTTAGAAAATTCATAAATTTAAGGTTTATTTTTATTTTTTAATATAAATTAATTATATAAAGTTTATCAATTATATTTTTCATATATACTTTTAGAATTGGAGGTGGGTCCTCTGCTCTTTAAACGTGGGGATATTATTTTTTATATTTTATAATCTACACCG